ATAGATCAACAACAATGAAACGGCTTATGATTGATTGCTTGTTTGAATAATGAATCACTTGTTTGGTTGTTTGTTCACTCTATTGATTGACCGACTGACTTATTAGTATGCAAATTCAAGGAGAAAAAATTCAAATTAGGTCATTGTGCAAACAGCATTACTTACCTGTGGATTGCATGAGCAAGTCAAACGATTCACCCCAGCTTGTCACCTCATCATAGGTCAGTCTTTCAATTAGCAACAGAGAGTCCATGATGCAGTGCGAGGAGGTGAAGTTCACAAGCAAGGAGGTGAATGCGAGAGGGAGTTAAATAGACGGAGGAGGGCAAGGAAAATGGCAAGGGAATTGCAATTATTAAATTCTGTGTAAATACAACACATTTTCAATAATTCCATTTGAATTACATAATTTACAGGAAGTTCTAATAACAAAAAACGGGAAAATTAACCGGATTGGAATCGTAACAACTAAATAGATTCCAATTGTGCGAAGATTGCTAATATTGTCTTTAGTTTTCCAGGTGGGTAAAGTAACTGTGACCAACATTTTGAAACCCAAAGTTCTGGCCTCCAGCAGGCACGATCGTTGATGATTACCTTGAGCGCAGGACTTTATCGATCTATCTATCTAAGGCACGGCTGGATTAGTTCATGTGAAGTCCTAGACACAAGGAGTTGTGAGTTGTTTTTATGAAACTCCCCAGTGTGATGAATAGCAGAAGGGGAACAACCGCTGGCCACGAGAACCTACTATTCACTCAGAAACCCGCCTACCTGAGCACGGGGACTTGTGGTGGAGAACCATTCAAGGCCTCAATGAGGTAGACGCAGTGTTGTGAGTCTGTCCAACCACTAAATTGAGATATCGGCTTCACGGTTCGAACATGAGGCGATGGAGTTGTGAGACGCTAATGACAACGACTGAAATCGATCGCTCGATACAACCCAGTTTGAGCATGTGTGTATAGCGTTTCAGTCATAACCTATCAGCAATGTTCGCTGGGCTCGAATATATGAACTGCAGAACAGTTGGCTGATATGGTATATCGCTCTATTACTGTTGTTTTTCCTCCTTCGTATTTAGCTAACTTTATTGAGCATACAAGGATAACGTTTTCAGGAAAGAGGAAACTGCCAACCAAAAGGTTGCTATAAAATAAACTGGCGAAAATAGCTCTTTGATTGCTGAATGCCATCGCTATAATATCTCCCCTGGTTGTGGCCTAGTAAGCTGCTGAGATCCAGACCGGATAACCGAAGTGTTCAGCACGCGTGCCAATGGATTTGGTGGTTGTGCACTGCGGATGCGTCCTGACGAGGATCAAACTTCCGAATAGTGTTCGTTACCTATCTGAGGGTGAGTAACACGTTAATTCTGTTTGATGAATAGGCTTTAGTTTTGGGATCCGTCTCTTTTTTGTTACCGCGAACTTTTAATGGATGGTCTGTTTTGGAATTTGCCATCGCTCTTTGGAGGTCAAATCAACAATTACATAATTTTCGTTAACTGAAAATCGATCAAGTTTCACGAATCAATTCAAATTGACACAGGACAATTTCTGTGTTATCAAAATGGGGATTGTTTCTGGTTGCATTCCGTGTTATTGTACTGTCTTCTGCAGGCATCTGAGCCCGGGTTTCTGAAAAAACGTATATGTTCAATTTACACTGGGCCGAAAGTGAAAACTAGTGTTGACAACTGTAATCTTTAGCCGTAAAATGTTTCAATTTATCGTCCACTTGTGATACTTTTGACAGTAAGTCACATATGCTAAAGCATATAAGCCAAATAGTGCGTTATTTACAGATCCGAAGAAGGACCCAGCATAAAGTATTTTTCATCATGGTACTCTCGACAGCTTTTTTGAAATCTTCAAAGCGTGGTAGACTCACAGTGAGAACAAGGCCGAGAAGTGTGTGCACATCATCGGGATAGGACTTGTGTGTAACCATACATAACCTGATAAACCTTTCTACTAACCTTTTCCGGGCAATGAATGTTTTTTTCTCAAAATACATCGTGACCCCATCACTGTTTGGACAAGCAGCATTTTCAACTGTCTGGGCGTCTACTTCTGAGATTCACGTGACTATTTACCTTTTGCAAGGAAATGGTGGTCGTACACACCTTATTAGTTGCACCTTTGGCGCTAGTTGAGCCTTAGATCTCCTCGTGCCAGATCTGAATGAGTGTTTCTGTATCATGCGTCGGAGGTTGTTTCTTGTTCGCGAATGATCTCAAATGCGGATATCAGTATGGAGTCAGCATTGAGCACTGCTTTTCCAACTAAAGATCATAAAGTCAGTTACAAGTGATGAAAATGTTTGTGATAATCGACAAAGAGCACTGAACAGTTGCTCCGTCCTGTCTGGGACTCGTCAGCAGTGCGTACATTTTGTGTCCCTGTCAGGACTCGAACCGCGAACATTCGGGTTGGGACTTCAAACCCTTAGCTCTGAGCTGTACGGCCGACGGTTTTCACTTTGTGCGAATGGCTCA